GGGGGGGGGGTTGGTTGTTTGTATCATTTAGAAAGAATTCTAAAGTGAACTAGGCGTTTCGTATTGTCATCAAATCTACGAAAAACAATGGGGAGGGATGGCTGAATGGTAGACTCACCATCAACATCTCGAAAATGAACTTCCCCGGGAACAGTGAAAAATATCATTTGTAGAAATCGGGAAAGTACTGAACTTCCTCAGTACGAGTGTACTAAACGAATCAACTATTTTTTACCAATTAAGCGCCGTTTCAAGAGGCTTAATAATTGTACTTGAGTCAATTAAACGACCTTAGGCAAAGCAAAAGCGAAAACTTTGTTAGATTCAAAATATCTTGCGTTTACTACGTTGTTCGATGCATAAAGAACTATGGGGGAAAAATCCTATTAGGCAATCCATAACGTGGAAGTAAATTTCACACGAGGTCCTTTCGTTCGTCTCTCTAATTCGCCATTATGGCGTAAAAAAGCAAATACCTCGAAGAAGGCAAAGATTTCACTATCAACTATCTTTAAATATGCAATATTACCAACAGATTCCATGTAAAAATGCCCCTGCCAAACACACTCTGGGTACAAAACACACAAAAACAACCTTGACACACACACGTACACACACACACGTACACACACACACATAAACACACTCACACACACATTCACATACACACACACACAAATACATTGTCCAATGACCTGCAAAAAGATGACTGAAAGAGACCAATAATTAGTTTTTGCGATCAACAAGTATTATCCAAAAGGAATTTCGTAAAAACAAAACGATCAGGACCGCCTTGTAACCTTTAATCGAGAAGTTGATAGTGCCAATAAGTCACACCAAGTTGCACCAGAAAGATGGAAATCAAGTGGAAATATTCCACTTCATATTTCAAGAGAGAGAAAAAATAGTTGAATAACAAAGCATGTGCAGTACACGACTTGAGAGAATTAAATGTCGACAAATAGAAATGAACAAGGACAAAATCGGGTATTAGTAGAGATCTCTCAAAACCGTTTAAGATTGAAACCAGTGGGAGAAGTTATGCAGAGGATAGTACAGAGCGGAAGGATTTCAAGAACACTTCTCCGGTGACTATGGATATGGGTATAATAACAAATGGAAGGGATTAGATTATATAAATTTGAGGTGTGCGATAGACTTACCTCCACGTGGTGCACCCTGGGCAACGTATACTCATACGGCAGAAAAGTCCCTTAATCGGCAGTTGACTTCTGACCTCAAACTACCATGAAAGGATTGTATCGTACTCGACCCCTTTCATTCTGTCCCCCCCCCCTCTCCAGTTTTTGTTACTTTGATGTTCTTCCCCCTCCTCTGTGAAGCCCGAAGTCAACTAAAGGGCTAATGATAGGTGAATCGCTCTTCTTTCCTCCCTATCATTTCTTCGCACTTTAATGCTCCTACCTTCTGTGAAGCCCGAAGTCAGCTAAATGGCTAATGATAGCTGTCCTGTGAAGCCCGAAGTCAACTAAAGGGCTAATGATAACTACCTGTGAAGCCCGAAGTCAACTAAAGGGCTAATGATAACTATTAAAACGCCTGCCATTTGAGATAAATAATATAAATTAAAAAAAGCGCTTAAAAGTGCAAGCCAAGGTTGGAAGAACAAAGGTTTCAATCCACAAAATTTAAATGGGGAAATTTTTGCTAAAAAAACTTAATTCTGCACGATAAAAACCTCCCTAAATTAGAATGATCTTCAGTTGTTTACATTAACGAATTCCATTAAGCCCGACTCCCTTCCTACTATGTAAACACACAGGGACTGGTCCCAATTTCCATACAGCTAGAACACTATCACCATGGTAGACCAATTGGGATCTTCAAGTCGTTAAATAATACATTACAGGAATAGAGACCTTTAGTGAGTTGAACCATTTCAGCGTCCGCTGGTGAAGATATCCACATCGAACTTTCTAAAAAATATTATTAATAACTGAGATAAATTGAACTATTCCGTCTCATGATCGCTGGTTTATAGGCATGGATGTCATATTGCCTCTCCAAATCCCAATGAAACAATGCCTTGAGAGTAAAGATTCGTCTATGAATAGCAAAATGCACCAATTCAAGTATAATCTTGAACTAATTTGCCAAAGAAAAACAGGATTTAGCATAAATTAGAAAATAAAGGTCTTCTGTTATGAAAATCGACATAATCTTTGAAGTCAAATTCCAAATAAACGAGATGCTCTCGAAAGTTTAAAGTTAGGATGGGCTTTGGGACTAAGAAGGACAATTCACAGCTGGAGCTAAAGAGACAACTCGGCTTTCGAGATTAAACCAATCAAACTCCCGTGTTACGTCAATTAGTCGTAGTAATAACGAATCGGCACTAAACATTAAAGCTAAAAATAGACAAATAACCAATTAGCTGGAAGCTGATGCAAGGAAAGCAACAGCAGAAGGTTTGAGCATCCGCAAATCCTGAATACAAATATTCAATCTCTTCTCCTTGAATTTCAATGAATGGTGGCTTTCAAGACTCTTACATGCGCCTTAGTACTGTCAAGTGACAAGCATTGAATAACAACTGCGAAAGACAGATTAGTTAAATGATTCAGAAAAACTCAACAATTCGAAATCGTATGATTTCGAAGGCAAAATATACATTAAGAATTAGTTAATGTTGTTGGTAAATTGTGAGAACGATCAATTAGTATGGTAGTGTATATTGTGCTTTGATTATAACACGCAAACACTGTTGTTTAATTAAAATGCTAGCAAGTAACTGTTGTTGTTATAGACCAATGGAGTTCCATGTTATTTGTGAAGGCTCTTGCTAATTATTTAGTATAATTAATTTATAATAATCGGAAACTTTTTGAGCTCATACACAGAGTTCTAGACATACACTTCTTTCGGCTACCAAACGAAGCGAGTGAAACATTTGATTGGGAAAGTAAAATTTCCTTCCTGAACCCATTCTAACTCAACACCCCCCA